TTCGGGATATCCAATACGACCTACGGAACCACAGTCACTGCCCCACCATGACCGATCCTCGTTTTATGGCGTTTCACGGCTATAAAAATGGATTTCGTGCGATTCTCATATTTTTGTGTGCTATAGCCCACGCCTTCCGCCGTGAGCCTAGGCCCCCGGACTCGGATCGCCTAAAATTTGTTCCGGACATCAAATAAGACCTAAGGAACCATAGTCACCGCACCGTCATGACCGTTCCTCATTTTTTGGCGTTTTACGGCAATAAAACGGGAATTTCACACGAATCATAGATTTCGTGTGCATAGCCCACGCCTTCCGCTGTGGGCACGGGCCCCCGGACCCGGATCGCCTAAAAATTTTCTGAGACATCAAATACGACCTGAACCACAGTCACGGCCCCTCCCTAACTGTTCATCATTTTTTGGCGTTTTACGGCCATAAAATAGGAATTCCGCACGAATCCTAGATTTTCGTAAGCTATTGCACACGCCTTCCGTCGTGGGCCCATGCCCCCGGACCCGGATTGCCTAAAAATTTTCTTACGACCTAAGTAACAACAGTCACCGCCCCGCCATGACCGTTCCTTATTTTTTGGCATTTTACGGCCCTAAAACTAGAATTCTTCACGAATCCCAAATTTTCTTGTGCTTTAACCACGCCTTCCGCCGTGGGCTCGGACCCCCGGACCTGAATCGCTTAAAATTTGTCCGGGATATCAAATACGACCTAAGTAACCATAGTCACCGCACCACCATGATTGTTCCTCGTTTTTTGGAATTTTACGGCCATAAACTGGAATTCCGCACGAATCTCAGATTTTCGTGTGCTATAGCCCACGCCTTCCGTCGTGGGCTTGGACCCCCGGACCCGAATCTCCTAAAATTTATCCGAGAAGTCAAATACAACCTAAGGAACCATAGTCACCGCATCTCCATGACCATTCCTCGTTTCTTAGCGTTTTACGGTCATAAAACTGGAATTCCGCCATATTCCCATATTTTTGTGTGCTATAGCTCACGCCTTCCGCCGTAGGCCCGGCCCTCGGACCGGAATCGCCTAAAATTTGTTTGGGATATCAAATACGACCTGAGGAACCATATTGCCGCATTGCCATCACCGTTCCTCGGATTTTGGCACTTTACGATAATAAAATGGGAATTTTGCACGAATCGCGGAGTTTCGTGTGATATAGCCCATGCCTTCCTCCATGGGCCGGGCCCTCGGACTCGGATCGCCTAAAAATTTTTAGGACATCCAATATGACCTAAGGAACTACATTCATCGCCCCGCCATGACCGTTCCTCATTTTATGGCGTTTTACGGCTATAAAACTAGAATTTCGCACGATTCTCATATTTTTGTGTGCTATAGCACACGCCTTCCGCCGTGGGCCAGTGTCCCCAGACCCCGGATCACCTAATAAAAATTGAGACATCAAATACGACCTAGGGAACCACAGTTACAGCCCCGCCATGACCGTTCCTCATTTTTAGGCGTTTTACAGCCATAAAACTGGAATTCCGCACGAATCCCAGATTTTCGTGTGCTATAGCCCAAGCCTTCCGATGTGGGCCCGGGCCCCCAGACCCGGATCGCCTAATATTTTTTCGAGATATCAAATACGACCTAAGGAACCACAGTCATCGCCCCGGCATGATCTTTCCTCATTTTTTGGCGTTTTATGGCCATAAAATTGGGATTCCGCACGAATTCCATATTTTCGTGTGCTATAGCCCACGCCTTCTGCCGTGGGCTCGGACCCCCAGACCCGAATTGCCTAAATTCATTCGGACATCAAATGCAATCTGAGGAACCATAGTCATCGCACCACCATGACTGTTCCGCGTTTTACGACCATAAAATAATAATTCCGCACGAATACCAGATTTTCGTGTGCCATAGCCCACGCCTTCCGCCGTGGGCTTGGGCCCTCGACCTGAATCGCCTAAAATTTATCCGGAACATCAAATATGACCTAAGGAGCCATAGTCACCGCACTGCCATGAATGTTCCTCATTTTTGGCATTTTACGGCCATAAAACTGGAATTCCGCCCTATTCCCATATTTTTGTGTGCTATAGCCCACGCCTTCCGCCGTGGGCCCAGCCCCCGGACCTCGAATCGCCTAAAAATTTTCCAGGTCATCCACTACGACCTATGGAACCACAGTCACCACCCGGCCATGACCGTTCCTGATTTTATGGCATTTTGCGGCCATAAAATTGGAATTCCGACAAATCCTCATATTTTCGTGTGCTATAGCCCACGCCTTCCGCCGTGGGCCGAGCCCCTGAAGCCGGATCGCCTAAAAAATTTTCGGGACATCCAATACGACCTAAGGAACCATAGTCACCGTCCCGCCATGACCGTCTCCCATTTTTTAGCATTTTACGGCCATAAAAGTGGAATTTTGCCTAATTCTCATATTTTCGTGTGTTATAGCTTTCGCCTTCCGCTGTGGGCTCGGTCCCCCAGGCCCATATCGCCTAAAAAAAATTTGGGACATTCTATACGACCTAGGGAACCACAGTCACTGTCCTGCCATGACTGTCCACCATTTTTTAGCATTTTACGGCCATAAAACTAGAATTATTCCTGATTCTCATATTTTCGTGCGCTATAGCCAACGCCTTACGCCGAAGGCCCGGGCCCCCGGACTAGGAGCACCTAAATATATTTTGGGACATTCAATACGAACTAAGGAACCACAATCACCGCCCTGCCATGACTGTTCCTCGTTTTATGGCGTTTATGGCTATAAAACTTGAATTTCGCACGATTCTCACATTTTTGTGTGCTATAGCGCACGCCTTCCGCCGTGGGCCTTGGTCCCCGAAACGAATCGCCTAAAAAAATTTTGAGACATCAAATACGACCTAAGGAACCACAGTTACTGCCCTGCCATGACCGTTCCTCATCTTTAGGCGTTTTACAGCCATAAAACTAGAATTCCGATCGAATCCTAGAATTTCGTGTGCTATAGCCCAAGCCTTGCGCTGTGGGCCCGGACCCCAGACCCGAATCGCCTAATATTTTTCCTAGATATCAAATACAACCTAAGAAACCACAGTCACTGGCCCGCCATGATCTTTCCTCATTTTTGGCATTTTACGGCCATAAAATTGGGATTCCGCACCAATCCCAGATTTTCGTGTGCTATAGCCCATGCCTTCCGCCGTGGGCTCGGCCCCCAGACCCGATTCGCCTAAAATTCATGCGGGACATCAAATACGACCTAAGGAACCATATTCACCGCACCGCTATGACCGTTCCTCGTTTTACGGCCATTAAACTATAATTCCGCACGAATCCTATATTTCGTGTGCTATGTCACCTCCTCGCCATGATCGTCACCTATTTTTTGGTGTTTTACGGCCCTAAAAGTGAAAATTTTCCTCATTCCCATATTTTCGTGTGCTATAGCCTACTACTTCTGTCGTGGGCTCGGTCACCCGAACCCGGATCGCCTAAAAATTTTTCAGGACATCCAGTACGACCTAAGGAACCACAATCACCGCCCCACCATGACCTTCTATTTTTTTGCCATTTTACGATCATAAAATTGAAGTTTTGCCCGATTCCCATATTTTTGGGTGCAATAGCCGGCATCCTCCACCGTGGCACCCGGGCCCTGATCGCCAAAATTTTTTCGGGACATCCAATACGACCTAAGGAACCACAGTCACCGACCCTCCATGACCGTTCCTCGTTTTACGGCTATAAAACTTGAATTTTGCCCGATTCTCATATTTTCGTGTGCTATAGCCCACGCCTTCAGCCATGGGCCGGGGCCCCCGAACTCGGATCGCCTAAAATTTGTCCGGAAAATCTGATACGACCTAAGGAACCATAGTCACCGCACCGCCATGACCGTTCCTCTTTTTTGGCGTTTTACGGTAGTAAAACTGGAATTTCGCACGAATCGCAAATTCTCTTGTGCTATAGCTCGCGCCTTCCGCCTGGGCCCAGGCCCCCGGACCCGGATCACCTAAAAATTTTTCGGGAAAACCTAAGGAACCATAGTCACTGTCCCCCAATTTTTTGGCGTTTTACGGCCATAAAAGTGGAATTTTGCGTGATTCCCATATTTTCGTGTGCTATAGCCCACGCCTTCCGCGTGAGCTCGGTCCCCCGGACCCGGATCGCCTAAAAAATTTTTGGGATATCCAATACGACCTAAGGAACCACAGCCACCGCTGCGTCATGACCGTCCATCATTTTTTGGCGTTTTACGACCATAAAACTGAAATTTTGCCCGATTCCCATATTTTCGTGTGCTATAGCCCACGCCTTCCTCCGTGGGCCTGGCCCCCCGAACCCGGATCGCCTAATAAATTTCTGGGACATCCAATAGGATCTGAGGAACCACACTCATCGCCCCGCCATGACCGTCTCCCATTTTTTTGCGTTTTATGGCCATAAAAGTGGATTTTCGCCAATTTCTTATATTTTCGTGTGTTATAGCCCACGCCTTCTGCCATGAGCCCAGACCAATTTTAGAGCTTAACCGATGAGCCAAATTACAACTTAATATAATTTATGCACTTTTTAATATAGATATTAATCACGAATGAGATTTTTCTCGTTTTTTGAAATTGAAACTCATACATTGAAATTGATATACACATCCGCAATATCGCAAATTTTTCTACCTGGAACTCATTTTTTCCATCTTATTTTTCTGTAAGAATGAACTTAAATGTTGCACAATTTTGCGGGAAATGCAAATTGAATGGGTAAAAGGTTGTTTTTCTCAAAATTGGCTCGGGTAAACCGCCTTGCGGCAGTTTGTCCGGCTAGATCTCAAAAAAATAGTCGAAATTCAAAAACAAATTGCGTCAATCCGACAACCGAGCGCAAAGTTATGGCCGTTTAAAGTTTTAACTATTCACAACTAGTTTTCTGCGCTTGTGCTCTATTTTAGTATAAAAACGCCTGCTACATATATGGCAACGCGGTGTTACTAAATCAATTTCCACAAACATCAATAATATAAAAAATATTATGATACTTCAACTCATTTTGACCTCTAATTGTGTATCGTATTTTTGTATTGTTAGATAATTATATATAATTTACTGTACACATTGTCGAAAATGCAAAATCTATATAATCCTTGGTACTGATGACAGTGCACAAAGATCCCTTACAAAAACTTTCTGACACTATTCCAAATAATCAATCTGCCAACTTAGTCACGAAGCCGTATTAACCTTTATATAAACCTGAATGGAAGAGAAAATGGCAAAAGAAAAACTCAAGAATTATCTTCTACGTTCTTAATAAGGTTTTGCTTATTAGCCTTTAAATCTTCTAACATTTACTTCTACCTTCTCATTAAGGTTTGAACGAACGTCCCGAATCGCCTAAAATTTTGTGGGCCTATCCAATACAACCTAATAAACCATAGTCATTGTTTTTCTATGATTGTTCTTTGTTTCTGGCGTTTTAGGGCTACAAAACAGGAATTCTTGATTTTTGATTTTTGGTGTTCTAATGTCCACGGTATCTTCATTAATTCGGGCGACCAGCATCAAATCGCCTAAAATTTTGCCCCCATTAGAAACAACCTAATGAACGATAGACATTGCTTTTCCATGCTTGTTCCTCATTTTTTTTAGCGTTTTAGGGCCATAAATAGGAATTCAGCATAATTTTCTGTGTTAATGTCCACGTCACCTTCATGAATTCGGGCGACTGGCACCGAAAATCGCCTAAAAAATTTTGGGCCTATCTGAAACGACCTTCCCCATAATTTTTGGGTTCATTTTATGGCATTTTGAAGTCATGCAATACGAATTTGTGATTTAATTCACTTTTATATGTGTATTAATACATGCTGATTTTGTAGATTTTTTTGACGATTGGCCTAGTAACCAATAATCATTGTTTCGCCATGAATATCGGGTTCATTTTATGGCGTTTCGCTCGGGGCCGAATTTATGAGGGATATAGTGGGGCACGTGAACAATATCGAGGTATGTGTGTATATTTAGCAAAAATAAGGCCCAATCTAAACTAATTGTTAGCAATTTTATGATAATTCTTTCCAGGGATATAATATTCTCAGTTATCTCCCTCTTTGAGTACTCAAATTCTTTTGTACTGTTTCGAGGGCTGCTGTTTTGAAAGCCATATGTGCTGGATTTAAGGTAAGAAAGTGTTGCTTCTTGTTCTTTGTTATATGTAGAATGGCGTATTATTTCACTTTGGAAATAGAGATTTGCTGGATGTGAACATATATACCACAATTTAGCTGTTTTACTTGTTTTTAATCTCTGGTAAACTAAAGTGGGTTTGTCCGAATTTAATGTTCAATTGCTCGTATCCGAGCAACATACCTGACATGTATGTTCTTACCCTGTCTCATCAGAATATTGCTTATTGAAATACGCTTAATCTTTCTATTTGAGTTGTACTAGCAATGATTTACTAGTGGCATAGGGAATTTTAGAAGATAATCGGCTTATTGAGTTGCTAGTCCCTCTTGAACATTAGACAACTTAATTTTTTTTCCAACCTAACTGGCTTGCTATTCGCAAATATTAATTGTTCAACTTTCAAGATCGCAGTGAAATGTATAATGTCCTACTTTCCTTAAAAGTTCCATTTCTTGAAATTATGAAGCTTCATAACAAGCTTGTTTCTTCCATATGTAATCCTGTCCATCATTTACAGAGAAAAGGATGGACTTATGCTCTTTTACCTTGTTCCTAAATTGTACAAAAAGGCACTCATCAAAGGTTGGAGTTGGACGGGTCCTTATATTTTCTATCCTATATAGCCAACCGTTGAAAACGTATGATTTTCAGTTCCTCTTGGGACCCTTTTTCACATTATGGATCATGAAGAAGCAGGCAGGAGCACAAAGAGTCAGATTTGTAGAAAACTACAATGAGATTTCTAATGCTCCTTTGCCAATTGTTGAGTCCATAAATTGGTTTCCCTTTTTGGATAACGTTATTTCCCTTTTGATTTCCCTTTATGTATATAGAGTTCTGCCATGTAAATGGAGGATTCATCTGTGCTAAAGAATACATAGAACAACATATCCTTGAAAAAAGGAACACATGATTTTTTACGTTGTCTAGTACTATTTATATCTTGTACGTAGTAATTGGTAATACCATTTAATAATGGTTGAATACATATGTGGTCCCTTAAACTTTCCTGGTTTTCCATTTAGGCACTTAAACTAAGCTTTGTTTTTATTAAATGCCTAAACTTGGTCATTCCCCTACTACATGCTTCCTCTTCTACTTTAACTCTGACCCCTCTAATCCCTTTTCACTCGATCATACAATCACAAAGTTGTTAGCAGGAAGCACTTCATTAGGAGAATAAGCAACATATACCCCTCCATAACGCATGAAGACTTGAATTTTCTAAGGATGGTGAAACCTACATAGGAAATAAACTAAGAAATGGCCATGTGGCGAACTAAGTGATGTAGTCTTAAAACTGAAAATTAAACGAGTCAACAATGCAGCACTCGGCGATTATCTAATTCAGGTAAAATCCAAGCAAACTCCTTGATACTTCATTGCCTCACCAAAAAAGCCACCTCATCTAGAAGTCGCATCCAATGGTTTCTGTTCATAACTTCTGCTTGCCAGGGAAATCTGGGCAGTTAAAAGAAAACACATGTATAGAGAGCATGATTTCAGATTCTTAATATGTCCATCACATTCCCAGCTGCCAATCACTAGTACTAATATCATCAATTGGAAGTGAAATTATGATCAATAGACCCCACAAATGCGTGGCGCAAGCCACAAACTGCACAAAAGTATAGACATATAACCCGATCAACCAATTCCGTTAAAAATTATAGCTAATGAACCTAAGATGGCACATTATCCGCCAGAAAATAAGGAACTTCCAAAGATTACAAAAGCATGTTGTCAACCTGCGACATCCTCTGAAAGGCAGGGCAAACTGCAAAAAGAAAAATGTTGAATCTTGATTTCTGCCAACAGGTTCTCACCAAACAATAAATGAATACGCCAATGAAAAGGGCAATAAGTCTACCTGCTTTTGCTATTGAGCTCATAAAACAACCGACGAATACAGCATATATCACAGCCCTTAACAGGGTTAAAGCTGTGTTGATAAAATAAACGCATCAGACAAATCATAGTCACTTTCTCCATATAGCAGACTCCATCAAAACAAACCAAAACAATGAAGGGGGCTCAAGTGCCCCAAAAAACGCACCACAAAAGAGGCAGCTGTGCTTGCGACAAGTATCCCCCACCACGACAAGCACATCTTCTACAGAAATAAGTCCTAAAATCCAGATAAGAATCAGAGATATTAAATTGCTATGCGAAGCCTCTAAAATTATAAGGAATATCTGCCAAGAATACATTAGAAAATTCTAATCCAGAATGGCCTTGGACATAGAAGATACAACAAAATAACAACTGAGCTCCAGTTAGGGTGAAGCAACTGCACATATTAAGATAAACACAAATTAGTAACATAAACACAACGCACAGTCATTGCACTTGTAAACATAGAACTAATAAACTTCCTGTTGTCCTCATGGATGATCGCCAACATGCCAAAATCTGCAGTAGATACCCACAACCATCAGCTTGAAGGATAAAGTTGATTAAATTGCAGAAAGAAAAACTAGAAGTACAAGACCAATATAATCTCCAAAATAACATGAAAGAAGTATGGAGAAATCTTTGAATTCATAACAAGGATTAGATATGCCGAACAGTTCCAAAATAAACCTTTGAAGGCCATGCAAAATAACTCCCCATTCATCTCTTTCTGCCACCACGTTCTCTCAGAGAGAGACTGAGAGTTTCTCCAGATGCAACATTATAGTATGCAAGAGACAAGTTGTCCTTGAGAAAACCAGCCTTTCCACTCAGCTTTTGTTTGTTTGCAGGAAGCTGGACCTCCCCGGAAATCTTCTCTTTTAGACTGGCAATGCTTTCAGACAGAGATTGCACTGTGATTTCCAGAATTTGTCCTTTGAGATTCCCTTCGTCAGTATTCGGCACAGATACATTGATCCTTGCAGGACCCTGCAATACGACCCAGCAGGAAACAACATTTGCAAGGATGTAAGTAAACATGAGGCATTAAACAAAGTTCTAAAAGAGACCCAGACAATTATGTAAAAGATTGGGGGAAAAATAAGAAAGAAAGCTATCCCTACCGAGTGCTGAGCCAAAAACTGCTCTTCAGGAATGAGAACAGACTCATCAAGCTTTTGCCTCTTCGGCTCTGGCTCTTCAGGTAGAGGAGGGGCTTCTTCCAGTGGAGGAGGAGGCGGCATTCCTTGGGGAATAGGAGGAGGCGGAACCATAGACATTCCGGGTTGGGACATCGGGAGGGGAACAAAGGGTCGAGGTGCTCCCAAAGGTGTAAACTGTGATCCAGGAGGTGGTGGAATAGGATGGCCATGCGAATTCATGGCCATTGATGGAGGCATTGGTGGACGGTTTACCATGAGATTTTGCTGACCTAGCATCTGTGGCATGGGAGGAGGTGGGGGCCGAACCTGAGGAATCATGTTAACCATAGGAGGTCGAGGTGGAGGCGGAGCAGCAACCCCAGCACCGGTGGAGGTGGAATACTGGACGGTATTAGGAGGCCTAGGAATATTCAGCGCAAGCCCAGGAGGTGGAGGTAGTGGCCTAACAGATGGAAAACCAGGTCTGGGAGGTGGAGGGAGCCGTGTGGACCAGGAAGGGTTTCTTTCGATCGATTTGCAGCAGTCATTCGTGGTCATCTGCAGTTAGTGTTCNGTTTCTTTCATCATTTGCAGCATCATTCTGGTCATCTGCATTAGTGTTCTGAGACATTGCCTGGCTTGCAGTGCGACCAATGCTACCTGTGTGACCATCCCATATGACCTGCTTCGGCTCTTCCTATTCCNTTAATCTTCGAAAACATCCTGTCTTTCTGTTCCTTGTACTTTGGATCAATGAGAGAGATCCTCATATGTTCAGACATTTCATTAATAGGTATTAGCTCACCAGTTATAGGAGAGACAACATACTTAGTCGGGTCCCTTTCTGCGGGGATCCTCTCTTCAGGCCTCTTCCAGTTCTTCACAATCCGCATAGGTGGGTCCTGTTCCTCTGCAATTGCCATGGTTTCAGCACTCTTGACATCACCATTCTCTTGAAGAGTCGCAGCTCTCATACCTTCTTCGACTAGCTGCACCTCTTCTTCATCCATCTCCATTTCCACCTCTTTTCCGGGCTCAACATACTCTTCTTCCTCCAATGTAGGCATCTTGCTCCTCCTTATAACCTCCTCAAGGGTCATAGGTGGAGGTAAATCCTGATCCTCATCATCAGCAAAATCTATAGTCTCAACGACAACAAAATCATGCCAATCAATCATAGCCATCTGCAACCTCTCCTGTTCTATCTCATCTTCAGCTTTCTGCCTAGCCTGCTCCTGTGACTTTTCCCACTCCAATCGATGCAGACATCGCTCCAGGACTGTTGTCATGTCAGCAGCACTCTTCCGCAGCTTATCCGTCAAGCCTTTAGGAGGCATCAGAACTTTCGAATACGCATCCGCAAGTGAAGTGAAAAACATGAACATGCTGTGAGTAGGCTTTAGAAAATGAAACTGCAGATTATTAATCTCCCTGCTCGTTAACCCTGTTAAGAAAGACTTCCCATTTCTGGCCACAAATTGTGCTGTAATCTTAATGATATCCAATTCTTCACCTGTGATCCCTTCAGGGAGTCTAACAGTATATTGCTCTGCCTCAGGTGGCTCAAGAACCCTTCTGACAGGTCTAAACTGAGCTGACGGATCAGGCCTAGCAGTTGCCTCAGCACCATCAGCGGTAGGAGGAGCAGGGGCTGCTTCTTGGTCTGCTGGTTGAGTAGGCTGCTCTCCAGAAGCCTGATTCTGTGCACGAGCTTCAGCCAAACGGTGCTGATAATAGGCATGGTAAGGATCAGAAGCATTCAGGAAGTTAAATTTTGCATTGCCAGCGTTATTTAGAACAATCCTCTTCTCAAATTCTGGACCATTCTTCGCCACAAACTGTGCAGTCTTGTCGACAATACTCCTAATATCTGGAGGCGGATAAATGATACCAATGGTTCTCGTATGTGTTGCAACAGACGTTGGAACATTATTAGCTTTATTGTTGTCCTCTTCATTTTCCTCCATGTTATCATCCTTTGGTTCCTCTACCACCTGCGCTGGAGGTGTTGGTCCCAGATTCCCATCCAACGGGGGCGCTGGAAGGGGTAATATTGGCGTGGTGCTCAACATTTATATTCCTGCAAGTTGCAGCAAATTCTATTTTTTTTAAAACGATCAAGCAGTTATGGCGTAGCATAAGCACCAATAATAGTATAAAAACCCCCAAAAATATGCTTCTATCTTCCTTTTTGCTTTCCTCAGGCAAACCCCATGAACATGCTCATCATTTCAGTTGTCATTCAAGCAAACGAAACCTAGAATAAAACCTATACCTCAACTTATTCAAGAAAGAAACCCCAAGAATATGCTGATAGCTTCATTCATTCGAGCAACAACAAAAAAACCAAAAGTAAGCTCAATGACTCAAACTTCATTCAAGCAAGCAAAACCTAAATACAAACTTACACCTTAACTTTCATTTAAAAGAGAAAAAAACAAAAATGTGCTCATAGTATCATTTCACTCAAGTAAGCAAAAGCAATACATATTCTAGTATTCTACAACATCGGAAAGCATTATTAGTGCATTTGCAGTTTCTACAAGAATCTACAGAAGATTAATGCTGAATTGACTTAGTTGTAAAGTTTATAGGCAATTTTCTGAGAGTCATATGCGGAAAATAAAGTCGAGCAAACAGAACTACATACAATCCCAGCAAGAAATAGTAAACAATCCACAGAAACTAAAGTACCCAAATGCAGAAAGAGTAATGCAAACAGAGAAGAAAAAATATATGAAGCAAGACAAGGCAAACTGAACAATCTACATTCCCATTGATTAAGCATCAGAAATTTATCCAAACCCAAAATTAATTAATCACACATAAAAGTGGGCTCTCTAAACAACAAGCGCTAAAAACTCAAAATTAATCACGAGATGTCATGAACCTTCAAGCTCAATTGTGTAGATGAAAGAATTAGTTATACCGGAATTACAAATACCCAAATTAAGGGTCCAGATTAGAAGTAGTTTAATGAGCAGAAACGGCCCAGATCAGTTCAATTGAAGATATAAGCCAGCTAGGATAGAGAGAAAGGGCATAACAGAATTCAGGTAAATTTCTCTTTCTTCCTTCTCGATAACCTCGTGTTCCCTTCTCTTCTTCTTCTTCTAAATTCTGATCCAACCCTCTCTTTTTTGCAGGTATCCAGTCCCATGGAGAGTTACTAGTTTCTATTTCCTTTATTAGTAGAATTAGTTTGTAATTCAGTTGTCAATTTTCCATTTATATAAACAGAAAATCATCCCAAAACAATTGTTCTTCGTCTAGTTTATTAAAATTCTCAATTCGATAATTAGAACTTGACACGAGAACTTTTATAACTGGCTAAAACCAAAAAAACCACAAAGAAAATGTTGCAAAAGATTGTATCTTTTTCCTGAAATCTTAAAAATGTTTTGGGCAGTGGGAATACCTTACTTATTCTCTTCTCTTTCTTATTGAGTAGTAGCTCTAGCAAGTCATTACATTTCCATAATTAGATGCAGAGGATTCAATAACATAGAGTATAGTAAAAATAATTCTCTGTTTGCCTTAGAAATGATGAAGATTGAAGAATGAAAAGGTTGAGCGTGAAGTGGCGAACCTGTTGAAGACTTGAAGAGGAGAGGAGTCACTTGCCGATAGGGATGGCAAATGGTGCGGGGCGGTTGCGGCGCAAACCCGCGAAGACTTAAACCCGCCCCGCAAAGCAAGATTTGCTGTTTTTAACTGCCCCGCCCCTGCACCGCGCAAACCCGCCCCGCATAAATTTTTTTTTTAAAATTTTTATTTTGGGATAATTATCAAAAGATACCACATTCCGATGCATTATATTCTTCTTTTTAGAGAAATTTTATGCAATATTTCCTGATTAAAATTGACAAGCTTAACATTCAGAGCTTCTGTACAGATTTCCCCCTTTTCTTGCTGACAATGGAGCACATTAGCCCTTAAATCTAAACTTGCAATATTTTGGTCGAAAAGGAACTCTTGATAAGCCAAACGAAGACCTGCTTTGTTCCCTGGTTGTTGACAAAGTATACCTCTGCGTCTTGATACATTTAAACAAGAAATTAAAACATGTGCACTAATTTTTGCCGACAAGTAATTCATGATTGAATTATTATACCAGTTCTTAAAGCACCACCCCAACATTTTGTCTTCATACTGTAAAAAAGATAGAATACTTTTTTCCAGGGGAGCTGTTCATTTCCATTTGACCAAGTGAAACATCTCCAAAGGAAAAAAGAACTAAATGCATCTAAGAAAGTGCCATATGGCCATATAGAATCAGATTACACCAGTGTTGCCAAAATTCCCTACATCTGAGACTCCATACTTTTCTACAAGGCAAGAAAAGGGATGACAATCACAAAATAATTAAAAAAGTAGGCTGATTGTTAAACAGTAAATCATTAAATTGGCAACAAAAAAAACCAAAAAGAGCATTAGAGATTATATAATGATTGTTTCTTTTTAATTCATCAAATTCCTGTTGAATTAGCTATAGTTGAACTCCCTACTTAACATAACAAGTAGAATCCAAGAAACAATTACCTAACCTAATAAAACCCAGTTTCAGATTCAAAGTAAAACCCAAAAATCAATCTTTTTACCTAACCCAAAACATAACCACAGTAGAGCAGCAAAAATACAGCGTGAGTTTCAAAATTAAGCTCGAATCTTAGCCAAAAAGAAAGAAAACAGAGGAATAAAGAGTTATCTGATGTCCGTAATCATGTCCGTAATCTTCAAAATTAAGTGAAATTGTGGAAATGAAGAGTATACCAGGGATGGGGAGAGAGATTGTCGCAACTCGCAAGAAAAGAGAAAGCTTGGTCCTGTTATGCCGCTTGAACTTGTCACTCGTCAGTCAGGGACAGATTGAGAGATCGGAGATGAGATTTGAGAGAGGAGATTTGAGAGGGGAGATACGTTATTAGGTTTTAGAGGTTGTTTGGCTAAGGTTATAAGTTGGTCAAACCGGCTTATAAGTACTTTTTGGCTTATCTCCCCGTTTGACAAAAATAAAAGTGCTTATAAGTTAAGTGCTTATAAACCAAAAATAAGCCAAAAGTCATAAGTTGGTCTCCCCCAACTTATCAAATTTCAGCTTATAAGCACTTTAGGTTTGACCAAAATATTTACTATTCTATACCTAAAATACGTTTTTTTAAAACAAAACTCTTTGTATACCCAATTTTTTAACTACTTATTATTAATTCAGCACTTTTATCCAAACACGTAATTGCTTATTTTTTAAATCAGCTTCAGCACTTAAAAGTGATTTTCAGCATCTATGCTTATCAGCTATTCTAAATAAGCTAAGCCAAACGAGCTCTTAGTCCAGCAGTCGGTACCTTTCAGCGTTTGAGCTCTTTAGACTTAAGTTTTATCTTTTTTTTATTTTTAAGAAAAAAACTCGAACTGCGACCCGCCCCGCCCCGCCCCGTCTAAAATTCTATTTTAAAAAATTTAAACCCGCCCCGCATTCGCGGACTCTCTAACCCGTACCGCCCCATTATCATCCCTACGAGTCACCGAGGAGTTAAGCGGTGTACTGTAGCAAGCCACGGCTATTTTGATTTTTTTTTAGATAAGTCTAGCGTTAGAAACAAGGGAAAGAAACCTAGCCTAAATCCAAAGGGCATCCGAAGTCGTACTTGGGTCGGGTTAGACTTGGGTAGTTGGGTTGGGCTTACTGGCTTAGGATTGGACTTGGGTTTGGAACTTGGGCAGTTGGGCTTACTATATATTTTGGGGAGAATGACACAGTTACCCACAAAAATAAAATTATTTACCCTTGTCTACCTATTTATTTTTCTACCCATAAACTAATTATATTTTCTACCCATAGTAGTTTTTGTGGAGAATTTTTTCTTTATTCTCCAATTCTTTTTTATTTCTATGCTTCTTTTCTTCTTTTTTTTCTTTTTTTTTTCTCCTTTTCTTTTTTCTCGTTTTCTTCTTATTTTTTTCTTTTTTCCTTTTCTAATTTCATTTAACTTCCTTTTTTTATATATTCTTTTTCTCTTCATAATCTACTGTTTTCACTATTTTTTATTATTCTTTTTTTATACAATAAGAAAAAATAATTGATATAGTAAATATTTGTTCACCTTTTTTTAATATACTAGTACAATATACCTTTTGTTTTTTTTTTGTTTTTTATTTTTTAAATTCAATTATTAAACTGAAATAATATCAGTTGCCACTTGATCTAATTCACTGAATATCACATTGACTGCTGCTGAGCACCATAAATTACATAATCAGATTCTAAGAATCAACACGTGATTGCCATACAAACCTTGATCTCCTTCCCTATAAATATCAGTACACACTCTACCATTAGCAGTAATACAACCAGTTATAAAGCAAGAAAACATAATCTACGGCTATCAAATCTCCATATATACTAGTTAGAATAAAAATGATAGTAAAATATTGAAAAATGCAATAAAAGTATAAGCAAAAAAGACTTTCAGTACCTGTGATACCAATATGGTATATATGTATACCAACAGAGCATATGATTTCTCTAGAATATTGCTACAATTATCTGAGATTATACTACTGTACCAAAACATTAAAGGATGCAATAAAAGTATGAGAAAATTACATGCTCGTATTGCAAGCTAAATATTCGCAAAACAACTTGCTCATTTCGTATATTAAGAGGGTATACAGTTGTATGGGGTCGTTCCAACAATTGCTTATAACTATAAAAACTATTACATAATACACATAATTTATGTCCATCGGCACACAAAAATTCCAGCATTGCAACTCATGTTCATATAAATAATTTCACAATAGAATTCACTTAAAATGCAACTAAAACAACCAAAACAATGTTCAAACTACCATATGATACCAATATGGCATATAAACTATACCAACATGGTATACAGTTTTACTAGTTAATTCCCGGCAACTATATGACTATACTACTATTACATAACATACATGCATAAAGACAAAAATAAAATAAAAAAAAGGTATACCACATATTAATATAATAAGGTATTTCAAGATATTGTACTATATTACTATTATTAAAAGAAAATCAAATATTGTACCAATTAAATACAGCTAATACAACCAAAAATGATTCAACTAGCATATGATACCAATATAGTATATGGCTATACTAATAGGGTATATAGTTGGAATGAATTGTATACTAAAATGGTATATTTGTATACTATTTGGGTATACAATACAAATTCATCTTCTTCTCTGGTTCAACTATATTTCAACCCAATTTTCTAAAATCTACTACAAAATCTCCACCAAATTGACTAAAACTTTAGCTACAACCTCCAATCAACTTTCCAAACAAACCAATACAGGATCGGATCAAAACAATTAAAAACTCAACCAAACCAAGTTATGAGTTTCAAGCTTCAAGGTCCTTCAATGGTGGATTTAAATTTTTGTACAATAAATATCCAAAAACCAGCATCAAATGTACAATCTACACATCAAAGAACAATAACTAACGAATTTCAACAGTAAAACACTATAAAAAATCTGATCTGGCAATATGGACTCATTCATATGGAGTTTCAAAAATTGATCTATTCTTCCTATGATCTAGTTTTTTATTTGTGCCCTGTATTTTAGTGTTGAAAACTTGTTTGCAGTGCTAAAAACACGAAGGCTTGAAGCTATTTCAATTTTCAGTGCGAACGGATGGGAGAATAGGGCAAATCAATGCCTCGGTTCTTGGTCGCATAAAGCATACGCAAACTTTATCAAAATAGTACAGTAGTACTTTCATGCATTCAATAATTAATGCTGCAATCGATGTCGGCAAGAATTGATCTGTTGTTGGTAGTGACTAGCAGTGGCTGGAATTAGCGGGTAAATAGTTTGGGCCGCATGGGTGGGAGTAGTAAATAGTTTGGGCCTGGACATCAAAGGGTAAATAGTTTGAAATTAATGGGTATAAAGTGAGATTTTCTCTATATTTTGGTATCTCGATTAACTGTATTTTGAAGTGCCAAACTTGTAAAAAATTTATATCGTATTAGTACCAAAGAATCTAAGAATCAATATTGAAATGCCGAATTAATTCAATCAAGTCCCATTTTTTATTGTTTGAATTATATGCCCCACCCTAAATTTTTGTTGCTTTGGGTAAAGAACAGGAGAAAGCCGAGGTGTTGATTTGAACAGATATTAGCTGGCAGAGAGAGGGGATATAAAAGAACAGAACAATCAAAAACGAAAAATATGAAAGAACAAATCCAAGAGATGAAAATTGAAGAGACAGATTTTTAGTAGGTGTTTGGCCACGAGTTTTGAAAAAAGAAATTCAAAATAAAAATCAAATATGTTTTGTTTATAGAATTAATTTAGTTTTTAGGAGATTTTGGAAATCAAATTTTCATATTTCAAATTTCAAATATAGCTCAAGCCCTATTTTTGGGCCAAATCATAATCATTTGAGACTTTTTAGCTGGAAAAAAAAGGACTTTTTAACATGTCAAAAATTGCCCCAATTTTCACATCTAAACACATTTTCAATTTCACATCAAACTTCACCCAAATCAACTTTTTCAAATTATACTTGGGAATTTATGTCCAAATGCTTAAAAAAAAGGAGCATTTGTAAAGGTGAGGAGAATTGATGCCTGAATGCAAAAAATATCTTGCAACTCTCTTTTTGGTGTTATTTGCTTTTTGCCCTTTATTTTTGGGGGTTTTAGAAATCTGAACCTATTTTGTTTCTTAGCATCTTTTTCTTATCGTTGCACATGTATCTGATTTTAATTAGTACAAACATTGTATATCTCATGTTAATCAGTACAAATGTTTTAAATTTAATATATATCATATCATCATCATACTATATTATAAGTATGAAGACTTTTAGATTAAGTTGTTTTATTAAAATCATATTATATTATAAGTATGAAGACTTTTAGATTAAGTTGTTTTATTAAAATATCCTTCAAAAGTTGAATGACCAAATTATCATCTACTTAATGATTTATTTATTAAGTTTATTATTTATTTATTTATTATTATATATGCAATATTATTATGAAGAACTCAGTAGTTACTTTCTTTTCTTCTTTCCATTGCCTAATGTATCAACAATTGCTTCTTTAATACTATCTCCTAATTAGTTCACTCTTCCTCCTCTTTAATTTTCTTGATTAGCTTCAATAACTTATTGATGATAGGCTATAATTGCATATTTTAGTCGCTTATTACACTCTAATTTACTGCACTTTAGTTGAGTTTGCGCTTTAATCGCTAGTGTTTTGCACTAACGGTGTGTTTTATGCCTTGTAGGAGTGATTCCGAGATATATAGATGTTATGGAATGAATTCAAGTGATTTGGAGCTTTGAAGTCTGAGTAAAAGCCCAAGGAATTAAGTCGGGATCGTATTCGGGGATCGACGGATGATAAAACAACAAAACGAACACTCGAGGAGGCATATTGCGCACTGTCTAGTAAAATAGATATAACTTTTTGCTCAGAACTCCATTTGGGCTCCACAATATATGGTTGGAAAGCTAACTCAAAGGGATACAACTTTCATATTTTACATTTTTCCAAATTCCAAACAGAACAGGGTGAAAAACCGCGGTTACGGTAGGACTGCGGTAGGACCGCGGCAGAACATTACCAGAGATTCAGAGGACCATTCTGGCCGCGGTCCTGGCGTAACCGCGGTGGGACCGCGGCAGGACGCGTAAATTTCAGGGACTAAAGTGCAAAACACTGGATTTTAAGCCCTAAACCCTATATTAAACGAGGGAGGCCGGCCAAGAGCGAGAGAGAAGGATTTTTGGAAGTGAAAAACATCATAAGGAAGGGCAAGAGGCAAGGAGGATCGTACAATCTTTAATCTTCTTCTTTGTTCTTTTACCTTTGAATATGAATTCTTTTGTGATTTTTGTTATTTTTATGAGTAGCTAAATACTTTAGTCTAAGGTTTTGATGGAAC